TTTAGAGGATGTTCCAGATTTTACACCCTGTAAAGTCTACTTATGCCCCAACCTGTTTTGCCTAGACTCATTAAAGTCCTCATTAAAATCTCTCCCTACTTACAGTATCTGCATCTTCCTATGTATATTCCATACACGCAAAACAAATAATAGGAGGAAGTGTTGTTATACAAACAACCTTTGTTATTTCCCCTTTGCAACTGCTGGTGACAATTAAGTCAGCCTAAATGCACAGAATATTACTGGCTTTTGAGTTCTTATAGGTATATTAAGCATCAGAGATTTGTAATCCAGGGAATATGCGATTGCCTTATAGGATCAAGAAGGAATTTTTTCCCCTGTTGGAGCAAATTGAACCGTGCTTTATAGGGTTTATTTTGCCTTCCTCTGGATCAACAGTAGGTAATTGGGGCATAGCATTCTGTTTAGGCTTCTTTTTTTTTTTCATATCTCTATAGGTTGAACTTGATGGACATGTGTCTTTTTTTCAACCTGACTAACTATGTAACTGTAGCAGTGGAGATCCCAGACATGGCTGGTATGGAGTAGTGTTCTTTAATTGGTATGGAGTATTTTGCTTTAATTGAAATGCAGTATAAACAATTAAAGATGACAGCATAGCAAAGGACTACAGATGGTTGCTGAATTTCTCTGGATAGGTTTGTGTTTGTTTACCATTTATTTTTATAATGGATTAACACACTGTTGCTAAAAATATCACTCCTGCACAGAAGTTTCACTGTGATTTCTTATAGATTCTGGGACTCTGGAAAATAATTTGACGGTAATGAGTCATCTGACCAGTGCATCAAGCTTATGATACTTCTGTTCTTGTCTGCTGAAGGTTGTCAGAATGCAAGGGGGTAACATGTAGGTTTTGGTAGGACAGAGATACAAATAATTTCTGTATTTCTGAGAATTATGTAAATATTACTTTCAGTGTTTAGGGTTGCATATACAGTATATGCACATTGAGGTACATAGAAATGCTGTGCATTTTATTAGTAGCGCTTGTACTTTATCCTTTATTTCCCCCAGGAAAAATGTATTGATTTGTAAGCAATAGTCTCTCCTGTAGACGGGCTTTTATCTAGGAACCCTACAGAATCCGACAGTAATATCAACTTTAGATTTACCAAAACTATGAAATACTGTATATGGGCCTACGTAAACTTTCCAATCACTTTTTATCTAATCAGGCAGGCCCTTGTTCTACATGGTTGTTGGTAGATCTAAAGGAGATTGTACAGTCAGATTGTAACATGTGTAATGAGCTTAACTGAGTGCTTCACATACCGGTAGCTGCTAGAGGGAGAGTCTTTTATTATTACTGGTTATTTATGTACAGGTAGTTTTAGTGTCTCAACTATTCCACGTAGTGGATATCAGCTCTAGGTAAAAAATTAATGTTATTGACACAAAGTGCATAAAACATTTGCAAATTTAGAGTGTATTTATAGTCAAAACCTTTTTATTTTTTGGGTAGGGAAGGGTTTAAACTCCTTTTTTTTTTTTTTGCTTTCTTTGTCCCATTGTGGAAATTTCCCTTCACTTCTTGCCATGGAAATACAACAGGAAGTAATAGGAAAATAGGAAATCTTGATAAAGTGAAGGGAATTCTGGTAAAGAGTTTGGATTTCCCATTAGATTCTATCTCTGTGATAATGGTCACTTTTGCAAATAGAGAGAGAGTAAATCTACCAAGCAGGGGCATATACCACAATGAAAGCTTGAGGTTCTTATGCATCTGTACTGCATCCAAAACAAAACAAAAATGTTTGGCTATATATACATTTTAACTATTAGAATCATAGTTTCTGAGTTAAGAACTCTGTGGCATTCAAAACAGATCAATGTTGTACTATGTGGCAATGAAATGGACCTTAACTGCAGCCGGTGCACACCTAGGCGATTCCTGACCCCGTGGCAATTGTGCATGGATTGCTGCACGGTCATGGAGTTGCCTAGCGCAGAGGGTCATGCTGTGGGTGCCATTATTTTCTAATGGCACCCCAGTCGCGCCAGGCGGATCACGTAGTTTGCCGCCGCGATTTCGCCCGTGCTTCCGAACACCATTGCAGCTAAAACAGCCGTGTGTTGTATATTGCAAAAAAAAAAGTACATGTACCTTTTTCCTGCGATTGCTGCGCAGATGTCACCCCATTGAAATCAATGGGGCTGTGCGGAAATCGCTGTCTGCATTGTGCAGGACTGCGCGATCCCGGATCGTTCAGGTCTGCATCGGGCCTCAGCATACTGACGTCAATAGCTCCTGCTTAAATTTCAGGTAAAGATTACAATGTGAAATTAGTGTGTGCAGCCACTGAAAACACACCATAGTTCCCCTTTAAAACATAAAATCTCACCCATTGCTGGAAGTTAAAGTAAGCTGTGCTGGACTAATTTATGTTTACCATGTATGAGTTGATGTTTTCACATATGTGCTTTGGTGTCCCACCTTCAAAGCTCTGATAGATACTGTAACCTTTGTTCGTTTTATAGTCATATAGGCATCAGTATTCAGTGACATATAAGTTCGTTGAAATAAGAACTCTGGTTGATAAAAGACAGTAAATAGTCCTTGAAACCTCACATTTGATCTGTTTGTGTGGATATGTTGACCACAGTGTTGAAGAGCCAAATTTCTTTTGTTTTACAAATTGCCCCAACAGCCTCCCTTTTCTTCTGCTAACTGAATTCAGCTGACAATTATTAGCATGACAATGAACATTTGGCCCATAAGCATCTCTTTGTCATGAAGACACATTGCAATGGGGGCAGTGAGAGAATGCTTCTCTTTGGAAGCTGTAATGAAAGGGAGAAGATATAAATCTAACTACTACAAATTGATTCTGTGAAAGGTTTATCTGCATTCACCCCAGCATTGAAGCCCAAGGTTGGGGGCTTGGTTTTTCTATTACTACCAGAGTTTATTACTTCTTGGCTGCTGTAGGTGTAAGGTATGTGCAGTTTCTAAGTGTGGCCTGGGCTGCTTTCACACAGTTAATACTAAGGAATCATGTTTATCTGTAACCTTATTCATCTACGACTTTGTTAAAGGGGTGCTTTATATACAACATTACTTTGTAATGATAGATAAAATATAAATACAGTATCATGATCTAGTGTCTCTTTCTGTGTTGAACTTTCCACATTACGACTAAGTCTGTCAATAGTAAACTTTCTGTGGGCCTGACATTGTGTCAAATCATTGGAAGCGCACAATCATGACACTAGAGCTGCGACCAGAGAAGAAATTAAGCTGTGTGACAGACGGGGAAAAAAAGTACAATAATTTGGGGAAAAAAAGTACAGTATTATGATCATAAAATAGAAACAAAATATGTAACAGAAGAATAAATAGAAGCTGCACAAAATGGAAATAGAGACCCACAAGGAAAGACTTATTTGTATGACAGTTTGAAATAAGTCTGAGTAAGTCAATAGAGCATAAAGCTGTAACCCGCAAATCCTTGAATTATATTGCAATAGAAAATGTACATTGTGTAGAACATCTTTGTGTTTTTGTGTATTTTCTCTACATTTTAGTAATAAGTAATAAGTAATGTAGTGTCCCTCATGTATGGTGTCCCTCATGTATGGCTCTGTTCTGTACTGTGGGTTCCTGTTATAAATGAGGAGGTGAGTCAGAGGGTAGGACTTGCCAGGTGCCAGGTGCATAGCTGAGTACATACCCATGGCACAGGAGAACAGGAAACCAGCAGCCAGCTACCAAGAAACCATTAATCTTATTGTGCTAGATTATATCTGCAGAACTAAAAGTCTTTGATTGTTTGCTTCCTTTCTCTATCTGGATTTTAATTGCCGGAATATGCTATTTTTTTGTATCTATTGACCTGGCACCTTAAATATGTATATTTGTTTAATAACTATAAACAAATTATTAACTTGCTTCAAAATCCAGAGCCATATTTCCTTTAAATCATTGCCTAGGCAGTGTCTTTTTGCTATACCATACTCATGTTTATATATGCCTATAAATATAAGCACTATTATTTACAACTTGTATTCCTTTATACTTAGTGTTTTATATAGCTTATTTAATTATTCATATTGGTCCTGGCTGTATTTGTGTTTTTGCATAATATCCTCACCATACTAATGCATAAACACACCAGAACACATTTTCAGCAGGTAAAAAAATAACATGACTGTTTTCAATTCAGGCCAGATAAAAATATAGAGGACATGCCATCTCCATGCAGATAGCGCAGGAATTGTTTTAGATCTGGAAACCTGGACTCTACTCAGATTATCTTAATTGTAAATAGAATACATTTTTATTTTAGTAGATAAATATTTGTAATACTAGCCTGCCAAATCTGTGTTTGTTTGTTTCCTTGTGAGGTTCAATGGAATTTTAATAATGATTCATTTTGTTGTAGTTGTGATATATAATACACATATTCAATGGAGAGGCATGCATGACACACACACACACACACACTGAAGCCTTTAATGTAAAAAATATCTTAAGAATAGTTTATTGCAATCATACTGTACTGTACAATAATTCAACCATGTGAAAATATTTCAACCATATACAATATTTATATATATATATATATATTTGGATGAATCAATAAATACACAGATTATAAGAAAGATATATTTATATAATTTAAAACCCGTTGGGATGCTTAAAAAACAACAAATCACAGAACATACTATTATTATTAAATTTTTACAATAATTAAGAAAATAAGTGTTTAATCATAAGAGCAAAATTGTCATTTATGTAGAGTTATAAAAAAAAGTGCAAGAAACCATCTTATCTGTTTAACTGTAAATCAAGAGAGGATAAGACATAACATTTAGAAAAATTAAGAATGACAGTGTTAAGGCATGAAAATTTGCCTTGTTGCCTTACACAATTATATAGCACACAGTATTACAGACTGAGCTCGGTTAATTGATCTGTGCTCTGGGCTGTAAATTGAGAAGACTGGAAGGGGAGAAAGGAGGGACAGTGACACTCATTACAAAAACTGCGAAAAGGAAGCAGAGTGCCTTGCACAAGACAGAGGCTGGGAGATAAAATCATCCAAGGAGTGTGTAGGACTGTCACTATGAGACAATGGGGAATAGAGAGACTCCCAATCACTGGAGGAGCTGCAGTTGCTGTTAGGGCTTGCAAAGTCCATCATAAAGCAAGATTTGGGTAGCTTGTCAAATGTTTCTCTCATGTCCTGTTGTGCTAGGTTGAAGATTCCATGGTCAGCAATGCGCAGAGTCTCAGCTAAAGCCCAGATATAATTATGAGCAAATCTCAGAGTTTCAATCTTGGTCAGCTTGGCATCATCAGGGAAGGCTGGCAGGACATTCCTCAGTGTATCCAAGGCTGAGTTTAGATTGTGCATGCGGTTCCTTTCTCTATCATTAGCTTTGGTTCTACGATTCTTCTTCTGTTTTACAATTGTCAGATCGCTCTTGCCCTGGAATCTGGTTCTTTTCCCCTTTTGCTTCTTTCTAGGGGGCTCCCTGGAGTTGGCAAAGGGAAAACCTTCTCCAAGTGGGCATCCTTCACTGCTAACTGAAGGAGCAGGTGAACATGGTAAGGAAAAGGAAGGGTCCTCATTCTCAGAGACATTATAGAAAATGTCTCTCTCGTTACCTTGGATGCTCTCGGTTTTAGGAGACATACTGTAAATTGAAAAAAGAACTCTTTTAATCAAGTTATTAAGAATATAAACTTTTCCTGAACTAGATAAAAGAAGGCTATAGCTAACAAGGCAATAATCAAGTCCAAAAGTGTTGTAAGCAATAGTAACTAGTAAGAATTCATCTTGCACCAGTATTACTACAGTACCCTGAGATCTGACATAAATGTGTTATCACACTTCCATATCACTGTTTGTTCTTTGCATGACTTATTTAAAAAAAAAATCCCATGTAATAGTTATTTGCAAATTTCAGGTTTATCAGTATTTTATAAAAGTCACTTTTGCTAATAGTGCCTATAAGTGTACAAACCTACCTATAGTGCCAGGCTGTAGATTTCCAAGAACTGGTGAGTGCTGGATAAACAGGATGGAGGAAAAGGTGCAGACAGCTGCAGAAGTGGAGCCTTCCCTGTGCTGTCCTCTGTGGCTCCAGTGAACAGAAGAACTTGCTTCTGAAGAGAGGTAAGGTGTGTGGAAGATGTGCAACAGGCACACGACTGCCTCACAGCCTTATATATAGCAATCATAGACAATGCAGATCAATTCAAAGAGTGTGCCCCCTCCCGGCACACTTTATCTTATCAGTCTTGCTTGGAGTGTGCCTGGCTTATTCCAACCTGGGAAATGGCCAATCAGAATCAAAAGAGACATGGGAGCCTCCCCACTGCCTGACACAGCTGGAATCCCAACAAAAGTGCTGACCCCTGCCTCCATCAATAAATAAGCTTCAACTTAATATGCACTTCTATGTAGCTAGTGCATTAGCCCTTTAACCCTGCTCACTGTGAAAGTCATTAAACAAAGAGCTACTGCAAAGAAAAATAATATATCACTTTTTCTTTTTATTTCTTTAAATTTGGAAGAACTCCTGTTTAGACATAAAGCAAAATAGCAGTGTGCAGTAATACATAGCATCCACTCAGCAATCTACAGAAATGTTGATTCCACTGGGTTACTGCACTTTGCACAGTTAGGTTGTGCTTTATCTCATTACATAGGCTCAACTCTTCACTTTTTTTGTCTGCGCATTTTCACTGGACAACTGCAGAAGATTAATAAAGTCAGGAATTGCCATATAAACCCTATTATAAGTTATGTATATTATTTTCAGTGGTGCTTTTCACATATATGTGGTTTGCAGTTTGATGGCATGTAAAAAGTATGTATAGTTGGGACGAATGAATGAAGCATTTGCAAAATTTTTCTGGTGCTGTGGCCGAATTAGAAAGTCCTGCACCAGATTATTTAAAGCGACACTAAACTCAGGGGTTACATTTTAAAAATGCATTTCAGTGCCTTAACTATTAACAAAAATGTATCTTATTTGTATATCACTCGGCTGTAGATCCTCAAATCATTGCTGAATTTGATGCTGTCCTTTCATTCCGGAGGGTGGCTACTTTTGTTCCACATAGTCCCTGTGTGTGTTGTAAAGTAGCCACCGCTCCAAGTTCCTGCCTGGGATGGACTACAATCTCATGTTTAGTTTACAAATTTGTATTGAGATTGTAGTTCATCACAGGAGTGAGCTTGGAGAAGTGGCTATTTTGCAACAACACACAGGTACCATGGGGAACAAAAGTAGCCACCCTCCAGAAGGAAGGACAGTGTCAGCACCAATTCAGAGATGATTTGAGGATCTGCAGCCGAGTGATACACAAATATGATACATTTTTGTTAATAGTTAAGGTACTTGAAAGCATTTTTAAAATGTAACTCCTGAGTTTAGTGTCGCTTTAAAACTGTGCAACAGTTTTCATGCTATTTCCAATGCATGCAACAAATTCAGGTAGTTCTTATGTGGAATACTTTTATGTCCTGGTGCTATGGCTTCAACAAATTTGTAAAGAAATATTGCTATATTGGTGTTAAGAAAAGTGGAGGTAAATAAGACTCTTCAATCTTGGAATAAATTGTGTCGGTCGTGTAAGTAGGCAATTCTGCAGCAGATTCATATGCACCTAACTGATAGTTACATGACTCTGTCACAAGTTGCGTCATTTGTTTGCATGGATGGATACAGATTTGTAATGAGCATCTAAGGCAGTCTTTATGAATTCCAGGGAGTGTATTTTACATGCATTTTAGGTTGGGCTGCTGCATACAACCAGGACATTGTCCTGCATTCTTCTGGTAGGATTTTCTATCCTGTTTATCTTGCTGTTTTTGGATGAAAGAGGGAGATCTTTGCTTAGTTTGCAAAGTCTTGCAGTGTCTAGAAATGTATGACATTGGTTAAATTGCTAGTATTGCTAGTATTTATGGGAGGATATAAAATCATATGCACATTCCTAAATGGGAGAATTTCCCATAAAATCGAAGGTGAAAATATCTGTTTTCAGTTTTTGTTTTTTTATGTACATTAGATGTTCTGGCCACATGAATATTTACTAGGGCATACATAGGTAACTTAATTCCATGAAATCAGTAGTGATATAAAGCTGTACCTGTTACAAGCCAAGGACTTCTGATATTCTTTCCTGGAGTTTCTTTACATGTGCTGGCTATCAAAGCCATGACTGCCACCTGCCCCTATTGTGCAGACAGGATACGTGGAGGCGGGCTGTGTGTCAGGTTGGGTCCTAATGAATAACGTTCAACCTGACTCAGAGAAAGGAGAGACGTTACATGTAAACAAACCAGAAGATGCAGGCAGGCCAAGCATTTCTCCGATGTTCATCATTTAACTATTTCTGCTGCAAAAAACTAAGGTTAAAGGTTCAATTTTTGGAAAGCTTTATGCTTGCAGCAAGTAAAAAAGGGCTCTGTACTTTGTAAGAGCCTGGCAGTAAGTTTCAGCACCATTGTCTCTACCATGTTTTTAGATATAGATAGTTACACGCACAGGTGAGTGGCACATTAATATACTTTTGCTTTTATTTAAACTGTATACAAGCATGTTAAAAAAAAATATAGTTAATGGTGGGTCATTTACATTAACTGTTCTGTGGGAAGGGACTGCGAAACACAACAGTTCATACACTTTTTTTTTTTATATGTTAGAAGTGGTAGCACAGCTATCTGCAACAAGCACAACATGTTAAAGGGGAACTGGACTCTGGAAGCTGTGCCCCAAAAAAGTCAGGCAGAGGGCAAAGGACTAGTCACCAGTATTGTCTGTGGTCCCATGCAGCTGATCTTTTCCCCATTACTGATTAACCTCACTTTGTTCTGCACTTTCTCTCTGTGTGGAGGTAAACTTCTTGGTAGAGGCAGGGCTTTGCTTCCTCATGTCGGAGCCTCCAGCCAGGAGAACAGAGACTAGTGGTCAGAGCCAGCAGTGACTTGGATCTTACATTGCAGATCTACAGCTATGAGGCTGTAGACATAGTAGCAGCTAGGCACACTCGCATACCAAGAAAAATTATAGTACTGGGTACTGTTCAGGCACAATTAACATTTCTAAATGTTTCCTACAACATAGTAAATCTTCACTTTTTGAGTTACGCTTTATATTGCTTAAAAATGTGATGACAGGAGTGTATTAGTGTATCCTGGGACTGGAATCATTATCAAGGATCGAGGATCTAGGGCAAACAGGACTGGGCTTGGTGTGAGTAGTCCAATAACTAGTGGCATGGTTGGGCTTTCCAGAAGGAAGTGTAAGGAGTATCTTTGCCATTGCCCCTGGTATGGAGATAAACTTGCATGTCATTCCCAGGTAGTGCCCCCTGTGTTTTGCCTATTGACAACAACAAATAAGCAAATTAGTGAAAATAGAGGAGCAAATGGCATTGTTACCAGGAAGGCTAAAGTAATCCTGGCTTGACATCCAGGCGCTTAGTCCTCATGCAGATGAGTAAGATTAGGAAAAGTAGCAGTTGAAATGAGAAGAAAGGCCAAAACATTAGTAGGAGTAATCAGGTTTGAAGTATCAGTAGCAAGCCAAAGATCACAAGAAAGCTAAACTCTGACCCTAGTCCTATACAGGAATTAGGAACAGAAATAAATGAGTTGATTAAGTACAAGACAAAACAACTTCATACCTAAAGCATATCTAAACCCAGAAACAAACATTTACTATATTGCAGTTTACCCATCCTTAAATGTGGTGGCTGCATTAGTTCTTCTTTTTTTTCATCTAGTGATCCTGCCAATAACACACTTTCAGTTTTAGGGTGGCTCCACTTTATAGAGGAGCAACAGAGCCACCCTTGGACGGCAGCATTGTCAGTCTGTGGAAAGGATAGTATTGGGTGCACTAGCAGATTTAGATGGATTCGACTAACAAATTAAATCTGAACTCCAGCTAACACTTTTTAAGTAGTTAGAGCAACAGTTTTTGGAAAAAGACTTTACATAAATAAATAAAAGCTGACCATTGTAAGTACCCCTGTCAGAGTTAAATAGTTTGTCTCAATCCTCTATCACCAGGTGAAAATAAAGGCAAATAGCCTAAGAAAAAAAACTAATGCATATTTTAAGGATTGGTAAGCTTGTATATATTACATTTTTGCTTTTATATTTAGATATGCTTTAAGGTGCCTATAAAAAGTGCAGGGTCACAGAAGGAGTATCAGAGGGTACAACCTCAGCGGGGAGATTGGTTTGCCAAATTTCTGTAGGTTGATTGAGGTGCTGATTCTCAACAAGTAGGGCACAGTGCAGAATCCTTGCAGGTAAATCAAGGTGAAGAACATCAGCAGGTGAGTCAGGGAGCAGAACATTCGTAGAAGAGTCAGAGACAGAATGAATTATGTAATCTATGAAATTACACTGGTCTTGAGCTCATCCCTGGGATTATATATCTATGAAGAGGAGAAGGTAGACAATGAAGGTAGAAACTATTGTTGTTACAGCAAGTTAGAGTTGCTGGATTGCACCTCTAAATTAGGTTTATGGACACTAGACCTGAACAGGAGGATAAGGAACACTATATTGAGAATTTTCATTCCAAAGAGCAACAGTTCTTCAGGCTCGAGTAGCTGATCAGAAGAAACTGATAGTAAGGAAACACAGTAATCAGAACATGATGTTTG